TTATTACATTTGAATTGCTATTGCTATAAATCACATCGCATTTTCAATGACGAATAATATTATATACTTTAAAACAGCCTCAGAAATAACACTAGATCCTATGCTATCAGGGACTCCGCTGCATTTGTAATATAATATAGAAAGGCCAAGACATAAAGCAATTCTGCTGAAAATATACATAAGAAACGTCATAAGTGCTATTTGCCCAATGCACTAACCTCACCAGGGGACTCATAATGAATCTATGTGTAGGAGATTTAAAAAAAAATACATCTCCAGTACTTATTGCTACCAATCTAAAGTTGAAAAAAAGGGGGAGGGTGGTCGTTTGTTAAATAAGGATTCCTACCACAATAGACTGAGATTTTCATAGTCTTTAATCATGTACGAAATATTACGAAACAGCTTCGCGAACTAAAATGTGACATACGCAATAATCTATCCATAAATATTGAATATTCTGTCACCATGTAGAAGCGGGGCTTTTTTTGTTGTTGTTTTTTTTTTTTAACATGCAGATAAATATGAAAATGATCAACGCTACATACATTAGGATGTCACGTTTATGCCAAAAGCAATGGACAGTTATAGAATTATTTTTTTTATATTTTAATATCACTTTACATAAACAAAATGTAACAGATTGACACATAAAGATCCAGGCTTGCACTGTACCAATTAATTGACATGACGTGTAACAAGATATCACTGCACTAAAAAACCGGACTGGACTTTGGGACGAAGAGCTTGCACTTTATACAGAAAAAAGCACACTGAAACCAGTAAATAGTCTGATATGTGGACGCTTAGACTGTAAGGGTACAATGTATTTCACATTTGGGTACACATTTACTAGAACATTCTTGCCATCCATGGAGAGAAAAAAAAAGAAAGAAAAAAAAAAGAGCTTGCTTCTTTTACCTCTGCATCCCACCCCAAAAAAACACATATATGCAGTGATCACGATTCCACATATCCCTTTCACTTGTAATATAGCTATTTACAAAATCAACAGTACATTTTTTGTCAACTAATACTTCTGTATTTACAAAAAGAAGGAGAAAAAAAAAAAGGCCGCCTGAAAGACATGCAGATTGAGACCTCTAATTAGTGGTTCATTAAACCCTACACGGTTGGCATTTGGCCTGGCAAACTCTTCTCATGCACTCTACAACCCCCTTATATGTGTTTTTTTTTCTACCAAGCCTGAAGAAAATAGCAAAAGGGGTCTCATTCTTCATTGTTATTCCGTCCCGGCAGCTTTAGGATTAGATTCGAAGTGTTCATTAATCTCTGGAAGTCTTTTTTTTTTTTAAATATGTGTTTAAACGTACCATTCGTTAAAATTTGATGAGAGCGTGCTGTGACTGGACGTGTGATGTATTGCTGAGGAGGAAGGGGATAAGGAACTTGTGGTCTGGTTTTCTGAAGCAGGAGACACGATTGTTGGGGGCGTTGAAGATTCATAGCCTGAGCTGGCTGCTGGAGAAGGTTGGGACCCCTGGGAAGTTGATTCGTGGACCTATAGAAGAAAAGAATAAAGAATTACAAAAATAAATAAATACATACAAGAATCAGCCAGATCCCTATAGATCTATCTACCCTGACAAAGATGACTGATCTTCTGGGATCCCTATAGGATCCCTTATTGCTGAATCTTTATTTCAGTAACATCACAATAGAATACAAGAGATTGGAGACGGTCTGTCATATCAGAAAGCTTTTTTTGTGGCTTGCACAGTGTTTGCCTAAACAAAAGGAGGCTTCTTCCAGAGCTGAAAAAAACCTGGACTGTGTAAAGTGGATGCCAAACTCTAGTGTAGTAAAATAAACAAGGCTAAAACCCAACTAGTATTTGAGAAAGAAATAGTTTGGTAGCTAAAGATAACTGCAACATTGCTTCGGATGTGGTAGATAGACAGACAAACCAGCTTGGCACAGTGGATGCCTCCATAGAAAACATTAGCCACAATAACTTCCTAAGGATGACTATAGAAGAGGCAGCACAGGGCTCTCTACTCTATACAATTCCAGCCTATGGCAGGATGGTACTGAGGAGGACATGAGCTGTTTAGTTACCTTCATGTGTTTTCTGAGGGAGCTCGGGTGGGTGTACGACTTGTCACACATTTTACACAGATAGGGCTTGTCTGAAGTGTGGACGTGCATGTGTTTTTTACGGTCGCTGCTGTTTGCAAATCGTCTGTCACAGCCTTCAAACTCACACTTAAAGGGCTTTTCACCTATTGCAAAAAAAATACAAAGCAAAAAGAAACATACATCACAATCTGTGTCTGCTTTAAAAAAATCATAACACACATCAAAGCCCTGGAAGAAAAAAATAATTTTAACATTGCTTTATTTGCCTTAAAAAAAACAAAAAAAACATTAGCCATACCGTTATATTTAAAAGCATTTTTGCTTAAATTATTATATCTTTTCTTCTATAATTCGCATTTACCTCTCCAAGATGGGCATCAATAAAAATACAAATTGTATGTTACAATTGTATATTGTAGATTGCAGTGTATTGGATGGAATTATTGTATTTGATCTTTTTTTAATTCTGCAGCACAGTCACACAGTAAATTTGAATATTATTATTACTCAATTATGAAATATTTTTTTTATGTATGAAGGGAAGTATAAACAAGCTTTTATATATAGAGAAGTATAAACAAAAGTATATAAAAAGTATATAAACCCAAGCAGAAGAAGAAAAATAAAAA